TTAGACTCACCACTTGACCACTTGCCGACCTTCTAGAAGGACTAAAGCTAGGCCTCTGGACTCTACTTGGACTCCTACCTTACAGGTCTACAGTTCGAATCTCCCTACAGCCTACAACCTATGGCGACCTACTTACCACTGGCTATCGTTCAGGTCACGGGTTCAACTCCAGGGAACTGTGCAGATACTGTACACAGGTAAGCTGAGGTCAAGGGATCGACCCCTGGGATCTGCATCGGCTACTGCCAAAGGTGAAAACTGTTTCAGTAGGGGCATATGGAACATATTTCAGTCCCAAACGACACCAGGGGTTTTTCAGAAACTTCAATAGTTGTCAGAGGGGCGCGACATGGTAAGTTTGCCGTCAGAGGGGCACACCACAAATAAATCGAACTTTCAGGGGCATATCGAAAATTTTTGCAAGCAAAAAAAAGTAACTTCCAGAAAGGGACAAAAAAAAAAAAAAAAAAAAAAAACTGAAAGAGAAGACAGGAAAAATTTCCGAAAAGGAAAACGAGAAACACTGGGCATGAGTCAATGATCATTAAGGTGCCATTGTGCCAATGTTGAACGGAACTCATCCCTTTGATTTTTTATTTTTTTTTGTAAAAGAGAAACACTGGGCAAGACGTTAGAACTTAGAACTTTGAAATTTGAGTATTTGCAACCCCCCTTCTGCAGACCATATGCTTGGCACACCACATAGCGCCCAACTGCACCGCACAGCATGCCGCATGCCACACTGTACAGCGCTGCATCACCCAGCAGACTGTACTGGTGTGTTATATGTTACCACAACTTACCAGTCTATTCTTTCCTTAGGCAGATGATTTTTTTGAAATTTGTTCTATCGCTCACTGGGACGAAGAAGGCCGTAAAAGGCACAAAGTGCTCAGCCTAGACAATCACAGCCACCTCAAGTCAAGTTTCCAGAAATCTGGACCCCGATGTCCGGACTCCACCTGGTTATTTGGGTTCTCCTGGTAGACAGCCTGGACAGGATCCGCCCGGACTGGTTTATCCAGGCGTTGCCGATGTAAGGGGGAAGGCGAGTCATTTCGTTTTTTTTTTTTTTTTTTTTTTTTTTTTGAAAAGCTAATCTATATTCTTCACTCGCATACCTCTCTCTAGCTGCCTACCTACATATAGGTCCAGTTTTTCCAGGGGATGCTCAAGGTTATGGGTTGAGTTTTCCAGCCTTCCCAGCCTATTCTGCTGTATGCGGGGAGCAGTGCACCGGCTCCTAACACCTGGCATTAGCCGGAAAGCCTAACCAACTTCCACAACCAGCCAGGAGGCCCAAGCCAAATATCTCCGCTGGTGAACCCGCAGCGCATCACAGGGGGCCATGGGGGATCGAATGGATAACGTGGGGAATCGAACCCAGGACCTCCTGAATACCACTTACGTGCTCAACCAACTGAGCTAGCTCGCTTGGGCTCATTTCGTTCTTTTCTTTTCTTTATTTTGAAGATGAAAGCAGTGTGGAACCGAGGGATCATTGCAGTGAGTTTTTTTTTTTGTTTTGTATTTTTATTTCGTTGTTTTTGAGTGATAGCAAACACTGTTGATGGCAACATGTATTCTCCTCCACCATCATGGCCTTCTCTGCATTACTCTGATCACTTTTTCCGCTCTCTACTCTTATACCTGGACCTTCTGTCATCCTCCCTTCAATTGGCAAGTGAAGCTGCTATACAGGTCCTCTAGTAATCATAGTCGAACCGACTCCAACGACGATAAAAAAGGGAAGATTTTTCTGCTGACCTTCTTGCATTCTGGACAGTCAAGAACGCGTTGGTCAGGCTCCAACTCCACAGGGAAGGAACAGAAAGGGCACCAAACCTGTCACACCATAAGATACATCATAGAACTATGGTGTCAATGACTTAAACCACCAGTCCATCCAAAGCTAAATTGACGAACGAAAAGTTGCATTTTTCCAAGCCTGGAATCTACCTTCGGAAAAGAAATCTGCAGTTGTGCCTTCCCACGCAGCCTGTCCGGGCCTAGGCACTGCAGATTTTGCACCAGTACTCGTGTACGCGCAAAATCTACAGTGCCACTTACGGATGGAGTGTGTTGTTTAACAGAGAAGAATAGGCGCAGACAGAGCATCAGAATTTTGCAGTTACTGAAACGGATCAGCTAGGTAAACAATGATATTTTCCACTGTCCCATTCAATAACACCATCCTCCACCCCCCTACCCCCCTTCCTTCCCCCGCACCCTCCACACACACACACACACGGTAAACAAACTTAACAAAGGCATTTTCCAGTACCGCTTTCAATTACACCACCCTGCACACTCTCACCCCACAGCCTACACACTCCTCGACCCCCAAGACTGCCATTCGGTGCAAGCTGCTTCCAACACCAGCTTGCAACACACACGACCACGCTGGCAAGCTTGCCTGTGTGGGAGCGTCCTCTTGCAACTCTGTTGATGCATTTGTGCGTGTGACACACATGAGTGCCCAGTTCGGTTATGCAACACGATATCCACACTGCCACACGATATCCACACTGCCACACGATATCCACACTGCCACACGATATCCACACATCCAGACGTAACACTGCCTCGACTCAGTTGCACAACAGATATCGCTCATCCTCCAGTGAAAACTCACAAAACATGACCGACGAGGAAAACCAGCATCACAAAGCAACACACTTGTAGCAAGCGATACAAGACATAAAGAGTGGATGAAACATCATACAGTCCTGTTCCACAGCTCAGACTTGTGTCAAACTATACTTCAAATGGATTTGATGCACATACTTTGCCAAGATTGCCAGACAATGCCACACAACCCAGAGAGCTGGTCGGCACGTTGAGAGCAAACATGAACGATGATCAATGATCGTAATAATCTCCCTGCCTGTAAAAAAGATGAACATTGTACTTTCGTTGAGCAAGTACCATAAGGGAGAGTACATGTGTGTTTGTGTTGCCCAAGTACCATAATGACTCTGCTTGCTAAACACAACTCCATAGAAGAGGCACGGCGTATCCATCTGAAGGGGGGGAAGGGAAAGGAGAGGGGAACATTTGATGTCATGTGTCAAGCACAACTCTGTACGAAAGGCATGGCGTAAGCAGACAGATCACAGAACTTATCAGCAACTCCTTAGAGGTTGATTGATGACTCTCAAGTTTGGGCACTCACACCAACCCTGCAATCTTAACAGACTCTCACGCTCTTCAGCACAGGGGAAAGATATACCGCTCAATGTCACCACATGCAAAGTTAAAACTTAATAAAAAGTGAAACAAGATGACTCAGAGTTGTTTGTGGTCCAAAAAAACTCATACCAGGTCTTCAAGTAGAGCTTTGGAAACCGAGTCCTCTGCTTGCCGTTGCTCGTACTTGGCCAGCACCTTTGGAGACAATGCCCTTCTCACCTGTGCACGCGCGCCCAACCGACCGACCACACGATTGCACAGAGGACCACAGCTATATTCAGCTTTCCAGTGCATCGTATTACAAATCTCCACATTGCTTAGAAGTTGGAACATGCGGCCCTGTTGGCGATACACCCAGCTGCCTCCCTATGCATGTGGAGGCGCCCGGCCCATTTGAAGGCTTGATTCCCACGACTGTACAAAGGACCAAAAAACAAAACAGGGTCGGACGGGAGAGGGTCGGCAGGAAGCACGACACAGAATCTAAGGGGGGGGAAAAAAAAAAAAACAAGCAAGGACAAGGTGTCAAGGACAAATAAGAGGCAATGACAGACTGTGTCCTCAGCCTTCTCCCCAACTCATCAGGAGGCCGTGAAGGACCCAAAAATAAAACAGGGTACGATCAATGGGAGGGCGAGCAGGAGGCATGGGAAAAAACTGTACGGCCAAAGCAAACAAACAGGGACAAGGATAAAGAAAAAGGGGTAGTGACATACTGCTGTTTTTCCTCAGCCTCTCACGGACTCATCAGGAGGCTGGATCCTTGACAGTCTCCAGAATCCCCTATTGATGCTTTGAGTCATAATCTCTCCCTCAAGTTCCTCAACCTCGGTTGTGATTGGCGAACGTGGAGACAGCAACAAAGCAACAAATCAGGCAGCAGCAACGCAGCAGGTGTGTTTGTGGATAGGCAACCGGGCAGACAGACAGCAAGGCAGGAAGCAGAACAACAAGACAACAAGTATCCAGGAGGCAAATACTTCTGCTTCCAGGAAGCCGCCTCGTGCCTAACGGCGCGATCACCCAAAAATCATTGACGCGAGCACACTATCTTGTATGGTTCGGAGAGGACAGCAGTTGGTTGGGTGGACACTGGACAGGTGGCAGGGCAGGTAACACTGCATAAGAGAGACAAGTCCACTGCTGTCACTGTTTTGATATGTGACTGGGAGGCAGTAGCAGTAGGCGGCAGGCATAGGAGACATCAAGCAGGCCCAGATTTGCGACACCGATGAAAATATTTGGATTTTTTTTTTTTTTTTTTTTTTTTTTTTAGCTGCACTGGAAGGACAAACAAAGAATTGAGACTGAAGGGCCTTGACAAGGCATAAGTGTGTTGGCCATGCAAATTCAGTTTCGAAATCGACCGGTCGTCACCGATGCCTTAAACCACCAGTACTTGGCCCAGCTATCGGCCGCAGAAAAAATGGACTAGAAACGTTTCTAGTCGGATGAATTTGGGCGCTCCTGTAGTGGCCCGTACATTTCCTAGAACTGTGGCTTGTTAGCGGGCACAACTTTTGGCAGTACTGGTGGTTTGAACCACCAGTACATGGCCCCAGGCAACTGGAGAACCTGTTTTGAGCCTGTTCGAAAATGTAGGAGGCTGAGCGCCGTTGATAAAATGAATCGACGGCAGGCAGCCTCCGAAAGGGGCCCACGGCCAATAGCTGGCATGTACTGTTCCTTTAAGAGTGGCGAAACATACATTGCTCGACACTTTCATCCTTTTTTTCCGCCAGCCAATAACTGCTTGTATTCAACAAGGTCTGCATACTCGACCTTCCCCAGTGCGTGAGTGAACACCCAGTCCAAGGCTACCCCAGATTTGACTGCTCAGGGCAATCTCAGATCAGACCATGACACCTTTGGAGGGAGCAGGGGGGGAATTCTCACCCTTCCTTTGATGTCCCCGGTTTTCTGGATGGAGTGCGGTCCACTCTACATCATCCCAGTTGCCCGGCCAGGCTACCTTATTGCCGCTTAGTCACAAGGAGATCTCCATACACACATCAGCCCATAGCACGGCAGGCAACAAATTGAAAGCAATAAAAAAATTGGTGAAGGTCCGCATACCAATGATCCATACAGATAAATTTCATCAGAGACACCACAATATGACGAAACCACGCCCCTGGAAGTACACATCCCCTCCTCCCCCCGAAGCAGTACTGTCAGGTGGCACAACTGCTACCTGTGCCCAGTAGTTAGAACTTAGCAGCAGACACCCAGAAGCAGTGCGTTCTATTCCGGTGACGACAGTAGTTCCCATTCTGATGTGATCTTTATAAAGAGTCATCATCGTTGTGCTTGGCTGTTTGTGTCTGTCGTGTTGGGTACGGGTATCTGCATTCACCTGGCCTCAATATCCAGCATTACCCATCAATTGCTCGGCAATCCAAGACCTTCTGAATGCAGTACGAGGCTACGAGCTCTTCACATTTCTTGCTGTTCTTTCACTTCACCATTGTCCCTAGTTTCTCCTATAGTTGGTCTTGTGCGAAAAGAAACAAAGGAATTTACAGAAGATTTACCTCAGACCAAGGAAAGTACTCATCACAGCCCTTGAACGACATGCATCGAAGACCCCCGACTGCATTCAAAGCACCAAACGTATGCTCCTCAACATTCCGCTCAACGCATTTGAAGCAAAACAGATGTCCGTCTGCGCACTGCAGTCATCAAAAGACAAAAGCACACCCATGCAGATTATCATCCTGAAGGACCTGAACCAGCTGGTGTCGATGAGCCAGGTGCAAGTGTATCAGCAACGAAGTCATAAACTCTCTCTCTCTCTCTCTCTCTCTCTCTCTCTCTCTCTCTCTCTCTCNTCTCTCTCTCTCTCTCTCTCTCTCTCTCTCTCTCTCTCTCTCTCTCTCTCTCTCTCTCTCTCTCTCTCTCTCTCTCGCTCGCTCTCTCGCTCTCGCTGTGTATACATGTACATCTGCATATACTTCCCCCTTCTCTCTCCCCTCTGTGCCACCACTGGTCTTCTCATCTCCAACACCCTATTCTCCCACCTTCCACACGTCCTTGTCAGAAGGATTTTATTGCTGCCACACTACCTACACCGAGGCAGCGCCAGGGGAGATGGACAAATGCTTGCAGTGTTTTATGCATCTGTGTCTTTCCCTTCCTCTTCCTCTTCCTCCATGACAAACCAAGACACATTCTTCATGCAGCTTCCTGCATGCATGCATATATTCATTTTAAGGAGACTGGCCCCAAAACACATATCACCAACACAAATTCCCCAAAGCCTGAATCCAGTCTAGCGTCAACAAGGCTCAGTAAGCGCCCTGGATTCAAACAGCAAGGCTCTTAGCTCGGCAGAAATGGGGTAACGTGGATCCAGTCCTCGGTTTAGTCAAGGTCTGCAGGTGGCTTGCACCCATCTAAAAAAAAAAAGTCCTCCAATAACTGAGGTTAAGTAGGCCTCCTTGACACACAAGGCCTGGAAACAGGTTCTGAACTTCTGAGTCTTCTCAGACCCTGAGAAAAACAGTCATCCCCTAACCAGCCTTAGAAGTTAAAGAGTCAAAGTGTTTTCAAGAAATCAATTTTGGCCACAGATCCCACACACCCAAGGGCCCTGATAAACTTTCCAAATGTATCCATGCCTACTGGCAGTGCAGACTTCATACAGCAGCTGCACCCCAGCTGCTCGCTCGGGTCATTTTATGTCAGCCGTCCCTGGTGGCCCAATATGTTCTTGCTGCCAGTCGACTCGTGACATTATGCCTTTCCGCGGGATCTGTGTGCCTTGCACTCTGCACCATGCTGGATTGTTGCCGCTAATGAGGGGAGAGAGAATCTGCGTGGGCAGTCACTAGTGAGGTGGGAGAGAGAGAGAGCGAGAGAGTGGGAGAGGGTTCACAGGAGAGAGAAGGGCCGGAGGGGAGAAGAAGCATACTGGCAGCCATAGCCACATGAAGAACAAGGCTCCGTGAAGCTGGCCATATCAGCCGCATGAAGAAGAAGACTCTATGAAGCTGGCGGCCATAGCCTCATGAATAAGAAAACTCTACAAAGCTGCCATAGGCCAAGCATTTTTCACCCAAGGATTCTCCTGTTGAGGGGCATCCCCCTGAGGTAAGAAGGGAGACTAGGGCGACGCCATGTGGAGGAAAGCGATGGCAGCTGAGTGGTTTGTGATGTGGAAGCCGCCATAGCCACTTTGGGGTGAGGTCGCATTAAAGAGGACTCGAAGGGCTACAAACGATCAGCACTCTTCACGTTAGAATTTCATTTTGCTAGCGCTGGTCTACAGGGTTGTGCGGTGAGAAAGTGGCCAGTGGACAGAGTAGTGGAGAGGGGAAGAGGACAGTTTGCCATATTGATCAGCACTCTTCACTCTCATAATCATGGTTGATCGATCGGAGGTGGCAAGGGGAAGAGAGTTTGACTCTGAAGAAGAAGTGGAGTACGTATGAGACTGGAGGATATTAAAAGTCAAAAGTTAAAACTCTTATCATCGTTATCATTGTAATTTTGTAACAGAGAGTTGCTAATTGTGTTCCAGTTCATTCTCTACCAATGCTGATACATCATTCGTTGCTTAAGGCACCTTGCCTCTCTCCCTCCTAGTCTCCCTCTCCTTCCTCCTCCTACTGGTAGAGCTCCACCATAGCCGCATTGGAACCTCCCGGCCTCCTTCTTCCTCCTAGTGCTCCTCCCAGCACCAGTGCTCTGAAGGCTGGTGCTTGCTCCTCCTGGAGATATAGCGGCCTACTTGCCGCTTGGGCAGTGACTTCCAGGCCATGCGGCCTCCAAGCAACTGGTACCTCCTCCCTTTCGGAGAGAAACATCATTGCAGGCTCTGATATCGTCCGTACAGGCCCTAGACTCAGGCTACTTGGACTGGTACCAGCCTACCTCTAGCCTACCGCTACTGGGCCTCTAAACATGCCAAATTTTTGCCTTCTTCTGCTCGGCCTCGAGTACCTGGCACTTCTACCACTACTTGAGTGGTAACGGCCTACCTGCTAGTTGAGGGTTTTTTCCGCTGCTCTAAGTGTTGTGGGCCTACCCCCGCTACTTGAGTGTTTTTCCCGCTGCAACCCTCGAAGTCACGGCCACAGGTAAGTACCGTCCCTACAGGGCCTCCCAAGCAAGCAAGTACCCTTGCGGGTCACACACACACTCAGGCCGACAATCACGCAGACAGGCACGCAGACCATCAAGCACGCACACACACACACAGACTGAGAAAACTCAGCAGAATGCGGGAATCTCAGCAAGGCATCCATTCCAGCGGCAGAACTCAGAAATCAGCAGTGTTCTCAGTCCGTATACAGACATACATGCATGCACGCATACATGCATACATCGATGCATCTGTACATCCGTACATCCATACATCCATACATCCATGCATACATATTACATACATACATAGATGCATGCATACATACACGCATGCATACATACATGCATCCATACATGTATCATATACATACATACATGCATACATACATGTGTACGGACATGTATGCAGATTTACATATGGATACATGCATCCACACATGCATGCATGCAAGATGTGTACATATATAGTGCACACACACACACACACACACACACACACACACACACACACATACACACACACAACATTAAATTACGCGTTCATAGTTTAAAGTTTTAAACCTGGTTGAGTCAATAATGTAAGAGGTGTGTCCCTTTTCCAAAGGAAGACATGGAAGAGAGGGAAGATAATTGGAAAGAGAAGTCAAAGAAGAGATTAGGTGCCTGCGCTCTGCGAAATTCATTTCTACCCTGGAGCTGGAGTTTACCATATCAGTCTCTGAACACACATTTGCGCAACTGATTGTCATTCCACTGCCAGTAAGTGCGGCAACCACCCATCAACTAGAAACTTGTAAGAAGCCATTAACTAGGGGTGGCGTGAAGCATGGGAATCAGATCTAGAACAAGAAACAAAGAATGGAGCGAGAAAGGTACCAGTAAAGTGCAGGGATCTCCAGTATGTGTATTTTAGCACTGCATCCATTAAGTCACGGATAACCGCCCAAGCACCTGGATGACGAGGACAAGGGAAAACGAGGATTGTTCCACCCTGAATTTCAGATGTGACCCCTATTTGTTAACCACTGCCAACCCGATCCTGAAACCAACTATGGAGAGCGGGAAGAGAAAAACAAATCAACTGGTTAGTTTGTTTGTTTGCTTGTTTATTTGTTTGTTTGCTTGTTTGTTTGTTTGTTTGCTTGTTTGTTTGTTTGTTTGTTTGTTTGTTTGTTTGTTTGTTTGTTTGTTTGTTTGTTTGTTTGTTTGTTTGTT